TTCATTTTTTTTATTTCATTTTCATTCACACGAGAAAGAAAATAAAAAAAAAAAAAAAGAAAAATCAAAAAATCAAAAAATCAAAATAAATCGTTCGTCGGACGATGTCGTCGAACCAAAAAGAGACCAATACTTTTTCATCATTTGAGGTAGCACGAAAAGGAATGGAAGGGGGATTATACCGAAGGAGAGAATAGTCTGACATTTTTTATCTCGTTTTTCAAAGCTAGTTTTTTCGAATCGAATCGTATTTACGCGTGAACAATTTTCGATGGTCATTAATATCAGCTAAAACGTCCTTTCATTCGATTCTATTAATATTGCATCGATATCAAATTTTTTTTTTCGATATATGATATGCCGTTTAAGCGACAAATATCTGAGCCATTGAAAATTGTAAAATGTATTGGCGATCAAATATGCACATCCATTCCCTGATCATTCTCTCTCTTCTTTCTTTCTCTCTCTCTCTCTCTCTCTTTTTCTCTCTCTAGTAAATGACGATCAATAATGGCACTGATTTTGCATTGAGGTTCTCTCTTATGAACGTTTCTCCCCTCTAAATGGCCACGTTTTCGAAGCCACATGATGTTTGCGAAAGCGGAATGGCCAGGCGATCGGACAACCAATTTGTCGAACATTAATCTCTCCGATTGCCGGAGTTAAACGAGCGTTCAACATAATCGGTCTGATTACAGCCGGGTTCTAACCATTGATTGTCCAAGCATAACTTCGGTAACGCAAAATAGAATTACGAAGAGTAAACCTCGTAAACAATGACCGAAAGAGAATAAATTGTTTGGTCGGTCCACGTATTACAACACGATTTATTTCGTGAAAGAAGATATGATATAAATCTATGTCTGGTTGTTATAAGTAATGCAAAAAAGCAAAGAAGAAGAAAAAAAAAAAAAAAAAAAAAAAAAAAGGAAAAAAAGAATGACATAAGAGAAAAAAAAAATGAAAAACAAAGAAATACAATGTTACATTAATTTTATATTTCAACATTTATAATGATATTTGAAAATTGACAAAAAGGATCGATCATTGACAAATTGCAATCGTTTAAAAGAAAGAAAGAAAGAAAGAATTAAAAAAGAAAGAAAGAAAGATTAGATATTTAAGATCGACCGATCTCAAAACTCAGTTACATCATCGTCCACGAGTATGGAACGAGAGCTACTTCTCTCTCTCTCTCTCTCTCTCTCTCTCTCTCTCTTTCTTTTTCTCTCTTTTTTTTTCGAGATAAAAATTGCTCGATCTTCTTTAATAGGATCGGCATCTGGAAGTGCTCGAGACTTATCGTAGTCTCTTTGTCCTTATCCAGCTTCGAGAGATTGCTTCTCGTTACCATAAGGAAACAACACGAGAGATCGCGTCCCCCGTTCCTCGAAAAATACAGAAAAGGAAGTAGTTTTAATCAAAGAAGATAAGAATCGGATTTAATCAAAGAACGTCGGAATTAATTTCGTTGTTGTATTTTGAAATCGTTTTTATACGTAATACTCAAGTCTCTTAGTTAAATCGGAAATCGATCTCGCTCTTATCATAAATCTTTCTATCGTTTTATCTTTAATATAATGGAACAAATTGAAACAAACAAAAAAAAAAACAAAAAAAAAAAAAAAAATAAAATAAAAACAAAAAAAGAAAATATATACAAAACAATATAAATAATAAATAAAATTAATTCGAGTGGGATGAGAATTCATTGATCAATTGTATTCTTATTTTTATTCGTAAAATAAAAATACGCGCGTCTATATTTAAATTATAAATACTATACATACATAAATACGTATATACGTGACAATAAAAAGAGAACTAATTGTAAATATTATATATTTACGTGTACATTCACTTGTGTATTATTTGATTTATCGTCGTATATTCGATATAACGAGAGACGTTAAACGACGATGAAAGAAACAACGACGATAGAAGGAAACGCAATGCGGAAACGATGGCCGGTTTAATCTAGTTGTTAATTTATAGCGTTTCGAGGGAGTCCTTTAACGCGTTCGTTATCAGGAGGAGAGAATAACACAAAGGGCTTAATCTCACAGCTTCATTTACATAGAACCCCTTGGAGTTTCGATCCTATAATGGAGAAAGGAAGAAAGGGAAGAAGGGACAGACAGGCAGACAGACAGATAGACAGGCAGGCAGTCAGGCAGACAGAAAGAGAGAGTGTGAGAGAGAGAGAGAGAGAGAGAGAAAGTGTCTGCCGATAAATGCAATTAAGTTATTCGTAATCCTCCACCTCTTCTTCGTCGGGAGGATGCTTAAAAAATGTATATATGTACGTTGATTCGGCAACAAACAATATGCAGATCGAGAACCGACAACAAACGGAAGGAAGGAAGATTTTTCTCAATTCATGAAAAAAAATCCAAATTTTAAATGAATCACGATAAACACTTAATACACTTGCGCGTGACCGGTTTACGGGATTTTCAAAGATTTTTTTCAATAATAAATGACGTAAGGTTTAACGATCAACGAAAAAAAAAATTAAAAAAGAAAAAAAAAAGAAAAGAAATAAAAAACCAAAAAGAAAAAAAAAAGAAACGGAATGCGATAAAGTTTCGATAGGAGAAGCGATCTATCAATTACAATCCGAACAATCGTTATTTGTACAGGTGTAAGGAAATAAGAGTAAAGTACAAAATGATACGTGTAATATCGTCATAGTGATGGTATTTACGAATAAATTAACGAATAGATAATCGCAAATCGGAATTTATTCGTGTTAAACTTATTCGAACGATCGATATCGTTTTTAATTATTCGCATTCTACGTTTCTCGATCTGTTATTTTTTTTTTTCTTCTTCTTCTTCTTCTTTTTTTTCTTTAAAAATATCAATTCTTCCACGAATCTATCCGTTTTCATTTCTTCCAAAGTTCTTGCATAAATGTACACTTAATTAATTGAAATGAAATTAAAGCGATATCGAGTAAGTATGATAAAGAAACAAAGAAAAAGAGGGGGAAAGAAAAAAAAGGAAGAGAAGAAAAAAAAAAAAGAAAAAGAATAAACGTAGAAAATTAAGAATATTAATAAGAAAAATAATAAATCAAGCGATATTACATTGTTCAGAAAGTTTCTTCTCTTTCTATTTTTTTTTTCTTCTTCTTCTTCTTCTTCTTTTTTTTTTCTTTTTCTTTTTTAACAGTGGCTCGTGCACACATTACATAATCGTATAATTCAAAGAGAGCGCATTACGTTTTTAGTAGAATTATTGCATGGGGGAGGAAAAAAAAAAAGAGGAAGAAGTAAAAGTAGAAGCAGAAGTAGAAGAAAAGGAAAGGAAATACGCGGTAGGAAAGAAAAACGAAAAGAGATAAGAGCTGAAGGGTAAAAGAACACAGAAAGGCGGAACGAAAGAAACGAAGTGGAACTCGAGTTTGCCGGTATATATCCATACATACATACATACATACATACATACATACATACATACATACATACATACATACATACATATATACATACATATATACATACATATATACATACATATATATACATGTATATGTATATGTATATAGAGAAATGGGAAGGCTGCGTCGTGTCAGCAAAATCGTCGCATCTTCATGGGGGTCGTCCTTTGCGCGGGCGGCAAACGCTATTTCCCTTCGAGCGGAAAGATTTTCTTTTCTTCGAGGCTTTAGTCGGAGCCGAATGGAGCAACGAACTCCGTCCTTTTCCACCTTCACCTCCGCCTCCACCTTCACCTCCATCTCTACCTTCTCCTCTCCTCTCCACTCTATTGCTCTGTGTACATCCCTCACTCACAGACGATAGAAATTCTTTGAAATTCAAGCGACGTTACTTTTTCATGTTCGCTGTCAAAAACAGTAAATCTTTTCCCTTTTTTCTTTTTTTCTTCTTTTTCCTTTTCCCCCTTTACGTTCATTAATTATTATCGAGTTTTTCGTATAATACGTAAAAATATTTTAATCGAGATGGTATATATATATATATATATATATATATACATATGTATGTGTGTGTGTGTGTTATATATCTTTGACGAAAGGATAAAAAAGTATCTAATACTTGTATGTTGAATTTTTGATTAAAAACAATTTTTTGATTTAAAACAGAACATAAGCCAGCTAATATTTTAGTTTTAATCTTCAGGATAATGATCCTTGTATAAAGTAAGGTAATATTTTAGTTTTATCTGTTCTAATATAAAATATTATTGTTATACTTTCATTATGACGTATAGGCACATTTCTTAAATTCAATTCAATGATGTACGACGAGACACATATTTTATCAACTTTCACGTAGAAAATTTAAAATTCTATATATCACGTATTGCAGATATAAAATGTAATTATTGTAAATGTTTTTCTCTCTGATAACCTAATGGTAATAATTTTTAACTTATATACTCTTTTACTTGCTGATCATATATATATATATAAATATTATAATCGATAAGGATTTAATTCTATAAATATAATGACACGATAGATTGAACAATTAGCAAAATGTTTAAATTCGATGAGTTGACGATTGAAATACCAAACAACATTTTAAATGATCTTTTTAGATATAACGTTCATCATCGATCGTTTTATTTTTGTTTGACGAACACGTAAAAAACAAGAAAAAAAAAAAAAAAAAACAAAACAAAAAAACCTCCAAGGAAGAAAAAAATAAATAAATAAATAAGTACAATACTCTGGTTAAATCGTTCGTTTGTTCGATATGCACGATTTTATTTAATCGAAATGGTGAACGCGGGAACGGACAGCATCGAATTAATAGGACGCATTTTGATCCGGAAAGGAAGCAACAGGTGCGCGCTCGCACGAATCGCACGTTAAAACGGCGGCTTTAAACAAAGGAACCATTCAATCTTTAATAATATATATATATATACATATATATATATATATATATATATATAAAATATATATATATATATCGATATAGTAAAATATAAATTCTATATAAATAAACAACACTATTAAAACTTACCGTTCTTGCACCGAACGCTTGGTTGACGTTGCTGACGTTATTGTTGATATGATTGTTGTTCAAATTGTTACTGCTACCAGACGTGTTGTTGTTTCTAGGATGATGATTATTATGATGTTGATGATGATGCTGCTGCTGCTGCTGATGATGATGATTATTCGAGTTGTTTCCATTGTTTTGCTTGTTGTGCTTATGCAACACCATAGCGGCAAACATTTTGACGATTTCCAGAAGGAAGACACGAGAAGCTGTGATAGATGGAATAAATTTTCCTTTGGGTTTGTTCCCCGTTTAACCGGCGACACAATTAATTCACAATTTTCCACATAATGGGCTAGACCTCACCCAATTTAGATCAACCGATCTAAAATTCTTATGTTGGCAAAACCAACCGGTCGTTATATCGCAAACATATTATTATTATTATTATTATTATTATTATTAGTTTTGCAGGATACATCGAAAAATGGATGGAAATAGTTTCTTCTACTGTTTAAATCTCAAGGAGACGTTGAAGAATTAGATTCTCGAGTGGAGAAACGGTCGATCTTTCTCTAACCAATCTCGATCGTTACTCTTCTTCAAAATCAAATGCATATGTACGTAATAACAAAATGAGGTCCCTCGTTAAGATCAGGTATATATGTATGTATGCATATACATATGCACGTACATATGTGCGTACATACGTACGTACGTACGTACTATAGAACGTTCATTTTAAGTAATACTTAAACGAGATGGAAATTATCGCTATTCAAGAGGAGCTGTTTATATCCTGGTATATTGTAAGCTATAGAAGACCGGATGGCATCTACTATCCTATCGTAAATAGTAATCAACTATCCGTTGCCGTGGCAATACCGTTGTAACATACGTTACGAACATTCATCACCTTGTGCAAAATGAACGAGAGAAAATTAGTAAACGAGCGAAATATAGAAAGAGAGAGAGAAAGAGAGAGAGAGAAAGAGAGAGAGAGAGAGAGAGAGAGAGAGAGAGAGAGAGAAAGAAAGAGAGAGAGAAAGAAAAAGAGGAAGTACCGCCGGCAGTCAATGGCAGACTGCAATTCGCGTGACTCTTTTTAATTTTGATACCAAACGGACGCCCGTTATATATGAACCGTTTGCAGGTGCGATGCTGAACACGTGAAGAACGCACCGAACGCTCGGCTCGTATTGATTTGTTATAAATAGTCCACATGCTACGAGCCGCGGCACCTCATTGTTGTCGTCTCTTTCCCACTTTCATCCCTACTCTCTCTCTCTCTCTCTCTCTCTCTCTCTCTCTTTTTTTTTCTTATCTACATATATACGTACATTTACGTATACACTCGTGGTTGAAAACACAGAAAGAAGATGGTAACACGTGCACATATACATATTATCTATATGCATGTACTTATGTAAATGTATATGTATTGCGAATATATATATATATATATATGCTTTTCAGTTCCTAGAGAATGTACCTACGGTATCATCGACCTTCTCTCATTTCTCTCTTTCTGTCTTGCTCGAAACGACATTAGATTTCAACTGCTATAGACACAGCATTAGCCCACTTCTATGCACGCGATACCGATTGCGTGTTACAGAGCGACGACCGAAGTATAGAAAATGTCTTATGGAACAAATATCACAAAGAACTTCTTATATATATATATTGTTCTCCAATTTTTATATATATATATATATATATATATATATATATATATAAAACACAATTTCTATCGAATAAATCATACTGACGTATTGTTATTATACGTGTAGTATTCACTCGATCGATAAAAACGTCGCAATGATATAAAATCAAATAATTCCTCAAGAGTTTTAATATCCCAGTAATTTGGAGTATATATATATATATATATATATATATATATATATCTTGTTCGAGATGACAGAAACCAAAAACAAAAAAAAAAAAGAAAAAACAAAAAAAGAAAAAAAAAATAAATAAAAAAAAAAAAAGAAAAAGGGAGAAAGAAAAGAAATAATTGAAAAGAAAACGAAAAACGCCAATTGATTCTAAATAACAATAATAATTTACTTTAACAAGAAGATTATTATTACATGATCGGACGAAGGTGTCTTCGAGATAGACGTTTAGTAACAGCAAACCGCGATAATCGCTCGTCCGAACGATCGCCTGCCTTCGTAACGAGTAGGATCAGACATGACCCAATTTGATTATACGACGGTGTATTCCAACCGCAATTATTACCTCCGGGCTAACCACCTTAGCTCGAGCTTCGAACACACAGGACTGACTCCACCTGCTCGATCGGTGTACGATGCTATAAGACGAATGCTTTGGTCGAGCTAGGTCGACCATGCCACCACCAGACATCGATACACACATACATACGTACTCCAAATGACTCTTTCAATTAGCAACAGTAAACATTACTTACTAGATATCTTACATACGTTAGGACGTGTATAATCTGTTTATATATATATATATATATTGAGAGTACGCAAAAAGACTTTGTCAC